TAACCACTATGCTACCACAGCTCCTTTTATAGTTTTCTCAAAATGTTAGACCCTTCTCAAACTCTGTACCTTGGAACATTGTCCCCTTGAGATTACATGAGGTAGATAGATATAGAAGAAAGTTTAACACACTGCCTGAAACATGGAAAATGATAATGATGGCGATGAGGAATGTCTCTTCCTAAAAACTCCTTCTAGTTGTTTTGCTATTGTTGTCAATGAATAAAGCAGATTTTCTATTAGCATATCATAGTCAATAATGAGACTACATATGTATGTATATAAATAAATAACTAGTAAAGTATCATCAGGCATTGAGATTAAATAGTAAAGATATCAGTTCAGTTTGACCTTTCCAGACTGAACTATGTGCTGTTCCAATCAGATTTGGGGAGTAAAGTTCAGAAACTGGTCCATATCCAATTTTTAATGTGTCTTTTTTTTTAATTTCATTATTGTTGTTGAAAATGACAAATTCCAATACTACATATATCATTCACTGATTACATTTTCAAGTTGTGCAACCCTTCTCAACCTCCTTTTCGAATTGTTCCTCCCCCATTAGCACAGACTCACTTTCGAGCTGATATGACAGTTTGATCCCATATAGCTTCTCAAAGAGCATAATGCTCAAGGCAGACATTTTTTACTAGGTAAACTCAACTGTTTAGTTTTAAGAAGACTTCAAGAAATATTTTTGGCTTAAGGTTTAAAGATGATCTCAAGGTTATAGCTTCAGGGGTTCATCCAACCGTCATACTCCAAGAATTCTGGAGTCATAAGAATTTCAAGTCCTGTTCTGCCTCTCCCCTTTTGGCCAGGATTCTTTTATGGACTTTGATGATACTGTTCAATCCTGGTAGTTGAGCATGATCTAGTTCTAGTCTATGCAGAGGGGGCGGTTGGTCTGGAGGCCATCAGCCACACACGCAGTATCCTCCTAGCCCTGCTTCTCTTTCCTCTGTGATCCAAGCAAACAGAGATCAACTCTGCCTTAGATGGTTTGCAGGGCTTGCAAGCTTTTAAAACCCCACCCGCTACACAACAAACTAGGAGACAGAACAGAAGCACCAAACATGTTAGTAGTAGCCAATTAACTGGGATGGAAACCATGACCAAGGACTCAAGTCCCATGAAGTTTTTGGTTGCACTCAAGCAGTTTCAAGTTTTTTTTTTTTTTTTTTTAGGGGGGGTGTTGGTGGTCACTGTTGTAAATATATCTTCACATAACTTTTTCCAATTCAACTTTTTACCAGCGTACACCAAATGATAGCACTGATAATAATCATCTGTGCAACCCTACCCTTAATCAGCATATTTGCATCACTGTTAACCATCACCTTTCCCTCTTCCTTTCACAACTGGTAGCCACTAATAAACTTAATAAACTTTCCCTATATCCTTGCCAACATCGGTGATTATTATTATTTTAAGTCTTAGCCATCCTTTGTTTTTGTTGTTGTTGTTGTCAGGTACCACTGAGTTGGAACCGACTCATAGCGACCCCATGCACAGCAGACGGGAAAATGTCCGATCCTGGCCCAACCTCACTACCGCTGCCAAACTTGACACCATCCTAGTGGGAGTGAAATGGCACTTCATTGTGGTATTAATTTGCACCTCTCAGATGGCACTTTTTCATGTTTGGTTCCCATTTGAATGTTTTGTTTAGTGAAATATCTATTCAAGTCTTCTGCTGATCTGCTATTTATGCTTAATGCTTAGCTCCATCCTTTTCCCTCTGAGAATGTCCTTGACTCCCATTAAGTGAAGTATATCTGGAGACATTCTTGATCCAGAACTGTAACCTGCTACTTCCTTAATAAACCCCACAATCATAAGCATCGTCTGTGAGTTCTGTGAGACCATTACAATGACTTATCAAACCCACAGATAGAAGGATGGCTGGTATCAGAGTTGGTTAACAGGTTGGTGAGAGGAGACATGTGTGACCTCCACCTCATATGAATCAGTCTTGAGCTTTCTTCATTTTTTTCTCCTTCATGAAGTTAGAGGAGGCCCCACCACTCCCATTTTTACACACTGGTTATTGTTCATGAACTGAATTGTAGCCTGCTAAAACATGTATCAGACTCCTGGTGTGGTGCTATAGGATTAGCACTGGACTGCAAACTACAAGGTGGGCAGTTCAAACCCACAGCTGCTTCTTAGAAACCCTATACAGGTGCACTTAGTCGGACGTGACTCAACAGCACTTAACAACAACAATGAAATATGTGTCAACTTGGCTAGGCCATGACTCTCAGTGGTCTAGCAGTGATGTAATGATGGAATCATCCCTCGTGATATAATCAGTCTATCAGTGTCAGGGGATTAACATAAAATGCAACAGCCTAAATCTGATATAAGGGGAATTTCCTTAGGGTATAGCTTGCATCACCTTTTATCTGTTATTGTTTCTGTTAAGTGGCATCGAGTTGGTTGCGACCAACAGCAACCCTACATGGGGTTTCTGAGGAGTGGCTGGTGAGTTTGAACTGCCAACCATCAACTTACAACACCAGGACTCCCCTTTTACCTTACAAGAGATGAAAGAAAAAGAAGTGGACAGAGAAGAGAAACCTCCTACCACCAAGAAAGAAAAGCTGAGCACAGAATCCACCGTTTGGAGCTGAGTCTCTACACTGAAAACCTCCAAGACGCAGGTGAAGATTCATGACAGGATCTTACCCCGTGCTGATAGAGAGGAACCCTATCCTTGGAACTGGCACCCTCAATTCAAACCTCTAGCTCTCCAAATTGAGAAAGTAAATTTGTTTGTAAAGCCATCCACTTGATATTTCTGCTACAGTAACACTAGAAACCTAAAACAGTTATATTTTTTCACAATGTGTCAACACTCTTGTTTTTCCCATTCTAGTTGTTGCATTTTAAGTCATCTAGTTTTCCTGCCTCCCTTCTTTTCTTTGCTTTAGGAAAACGGTTTATGTTTAGGGCAACTGTTTCATCTCATATAGATGATTTTTTTAAAAGAAACATAATATTCACAGGTTCTTATGGTGCTATAGGATATGCCCTGGACTGCTAACTGCAAGGTTGGTGGTTCAAACCCACCAGTCACTCCTCCGAAACAGCACACTGGTTATCGTGAATTGGAACCGACTAAATGGCACTTAACAAAACAGCAGCATATTTTATAAGCCAATCTGTCATTTAGCTGAAAGGTGACCTATGAGGGTAGTTTCAGTTCTAAGTTTAAAAGGTATCTTAAGGTGATAATACATTATAAAGTTTTATAAGTGGGGATGGCCCTGAGGAATATGACTGATCAGGGCCAGTGAGAATTTCCCTGCAGCGAGGATGTCTGAGAAGCTTCAGCACAGTCACATATAATATTCATTTCAAGCTGTTTCCTATTCTGTTCTGTTAATCTCATTCTTATGGCTATGTGCCGTGGAGTCGGTTCTGACCTATAACAACCCTACAGAGGGCTTCCGAGGCTATAAATCTTTACAGAAGCAGAAAGCCTCATGTTTCTCCCACAGAACCACTGGTAGTTTCAAGCTGCTGACCTTGAGATTAGCAGCTCAACTCATAACCAGAGCTCCTTGTTAATCTTATAGCTACCTCTAATATATACTCTTTGACATTGTAGCTTTGGACTTTAACTGCATCCTTGAGATTTAGTTAAAAATTAGCTTCACAAAGTTCTTGTTCTTCATTCAACTTTACCATTCAGTAAGAACTTATTAAACACAGAACAAACAAAAAACTTCTTCATGAAAGCCCTCCTGATCCCCTATATTGAATCAGCAATTGCCTTTTGTGTCTGGCCTTCTCTCATAGCACTTAAGTCAGATCTTGCATCACAGCAGGTTTCTACGAATACTTATCTTAATGGAAAACTTGTCTCAAGCATTCTTTACGGTAATCTATGTCTTTATATCCTCTCTACTCACTAACATTCCCTTGCAGACAGCTGGTTCCTGATTAAAATCGGTATAATTGAAGACGTTTGGGCTAAATAACTTCTAGGTCCCTTTCAGTTTTTTTTTTTTTAATTCTCTATTTTTGATGGCTTATGATTAGTCAATATACCTTTCCGTGTCACACAAGAAGGATCGAGTAAGTGAAGACATAAGAAGTCTTCCATCCAAATAATCTAACTGGACAATACAGGAGTCAACTGATGTTATTGTCTGAACAGGAAACATCACAAAGGTAGCAGCTGCCTAAAAGGAATGTGAGAGGGAAATGAAATTTATCTCATCATAACATATACTGTTTTTTAAATAAACACTACTTGAATAGCAAAATAAAACTTGAAAAATAATTCAAAATTCAATTTGCCTGCTAGAATATCAAATTATCACTCATTTAAAAATATTGCAAAACACTAGCATATTGCTGCAAAAGAAAATTATTAAGACTCCATGTGTGATTATTTATCCTGAAGTTGAAATGAAAAAGATGACTAAGTTTTAGAATGAGAGAAATTTCCCCCTGTAGATAGTACTTCTCCCTTTGGAAAAAAAAAAAAAAGGTAAATTAAGACCATACTATAGACCAGCTGCTCCTTGGAAACCCTTTATAGTGTCGTTATGGGTCAGAACCAACTCGACGTCACTTAACAACAACAACAACATAGTCCTGGTGTGGCACTGTGGGTTAATGCGTCAGACTGCAAAGTAATTTGAACTGTAAAGTCAGTGCTTCAAGCTCACCAGCTGCTCCTTGGAAACCCTCTACAGGGTCGCTATGGGTCAGAATTAAATCGACGGCACTTAACAACAACATGCTTACAGTTGGAGTCCTGGTGTGGCACTGTGGGTTAATGCACTGGACTGTAAAGTCGGTTTGAACTGCAAG